GCCGCAATCCCTTCTCCTCCATTCTCCTCTCGGGATCTTGGGCACGCACGCACATGTGCACGGTATGAGTTTTAAGTCACCGGGTCCGGGACGCGAACCGTGGTTGACTACGTGGGAGTCCAGCGACATAGCCATTACACTAACTGCTGGTTCCCAAGCACTCTTGTGTCCAGCAAAGAGAGCATTACCCCTCAGGGGCCCTCTTCTTGGCTACTTTACCTTCATGAACATGCTGAATCCAGTTTTAAGGAGATCAGTGAGGCCTGAGGACATGTGTTCAATATCGACCGGATCGGGCCTCTCGGGATTAAATATCTCCTCCACAACCTGCTTCAGCAATGGCTTGTAGGATGCCTGCAAAGACAAACATGGTAGGTTCTGTGAGTGACAGGGCCCGTTGGGTGTGTCTGACAGACGACAGCTTTATCTGCATCAAAGGAAGCCGTATGAGTTTATTCTCATACCGAGCAGCAGCTGTGACAGTGTGCGTGAAAAGGCAATATAATAACATTTAAAAATGTTCAGTTCTCCTGCTGTTTGTTTTTCATTCTTTCTTTATTCAGGAGAGAGCACGTGTACACACGCATGGGAGAGTGAGAGAGCGAGAGGAATACTCTCTACAGCGTCTGGCCCCACTGCTGTCCTCCCTACTCCAGCCCATCGGATCCTGGGTCGGTGGGTGTGCCTGGTGTGTTTCAGGGTGACTGGGCTGGGGATGCACACTGTGGTCGTCGCGTGGACACTGCTCCTCTTGAGCAGTGCAGTTCTGCTGTTTCACAGACCTGGCCCAGTTTTGGGTAAACTTTCACCCCACTGCCTTTTTCTGTCTTTCATACCTCTTTTTACAAACAAGTTTATTTATTTATTTTTAACCAGAGCTATCTATGATCACAGCATGACTAATTTTTTGATCTAGATTTAAAGTGACAAATTTGTACATAAAATATACTAGAAAGCAAAGAATTGTCATTTGATACAGACGTGAAGATGGTTTCCAGTTCTTCTTAAACATTCTAAAAACTGCTCTAAAAACCTCTGCTAGTGGGACCAGCAGTTAGTGTAATGGCTATGTTGCTGGACTCTCATGTAGTTGACCGCAGTTCGAGTCCCAGACCCAGTGGCTTAAACTTACGCTGGGCACATGTGCATGCATGGCCAAGATCCCGAGAGGAGAATGGAGGAGAAGGGATTGCTGCGTGGCCATCCCTCCTGGGGGGTGATTTCTCGCTTTCTGTCTCTCTGTCTTTCTGGTGAGCACACACGCCC